CCAAATATAATCAAATAAGTCAAAGTGTACATTTTTATTTGGTATTTGATTTGTTTATTATTAAAATCTTTTTATTATATTTATCTTTTTAAAATAAAATAAATAAAATATTATAATACCAAAATAGTAATGACATTTAATGCAGTTGACTTTTCTGGATAGTAAATGTAGTAAATAGAATATCCTTTTATATAATATAATACGGAAATAGTAATGCAATAAATGTTGTTGACTTTTCTGGCTACTTAATTTGGTAAATAGTACTCCCTTTAATATAAGTATAGATTAGTTATAGCTATATAATAAAAACTAAATTTAAAAATCAATTTCAAATAAATAAAAGTATCATACTAATTTATTTCACAGGTCACATTGCAGCTTAAATCAATTATGCTGTTAAGGCAAAATAAATTAACAAAAAAAAAATGATAACTTAAAATAAAAATAAAAAAATGAAAAAGGTTTGATTTATAGGTTTTAAATCTTATCATCTCTGCTTGCCTGTAACTTTATCATAGTTATGCGGGGTATGGAATAGATTCCTTCCTTGAATAATAAGCATATAAAATAATAGAGACATGATATTCTATATACTTGAAATGTGATGTTTCATCAAAAATTTCGATTAGGGAGTTAAATGGAGAAATAATTTTCACACAGTATAAGAAAACACAAGTATTATAAATAAATAATGAAAAGTATACTACCTTAACTATATATATATTTTTATTCTATGATTCTATTCAATTGATTGTGGTATAAATTAACTACATTTAATTAATGCCATATAAGTGAAACACTCTACTCAAGGAACAATTATATATTTTTATAACACCTTAGCTTAAATAAAAATGCTATCTATTTTAGTGAGGAGATGAGTGTTGTACATGACTTTAAGTTAAACTTAGTCGCACATAATTAGGTGCAATTGGATATAGATCCATCTCAAATCTCAATTCATTGAACCACCAATCAAAAATACATAATTAATCAATTTATTTCTTTTATTCATTCAATCCCAATTCCCACATATTTTTTCCAACACAATTTTTAAATTAAAAAACAAATATCATTACTCCACACTCATTTATAAAATTTGCTAATCAACTATTTACATATATATAACTATTGATTAGATTTTTGCTATTTTCTTACCACAGTATAATTGATATTCATTTTATCACATCATTTTACTTTGTCAAAATTATTATTTGTTTCCACTAATTATGCTTTTTGACCATCTATTTTATTGCATTTCATATTCATAGAAAGACGTGTGGCTTTACTTTTATTTATCTTATTTTTTACACAACTTTACTTTTATATAATATAAAGTATATCAAATAAAATCATGTCTAATGAAGATATTTTAATGGAGTTATTTTTATTATCGTGAGTGTGTCGTGGTGTTTAGGCTCTCTTGAGATGTTTTCTCAATAGATTCGACCTTGCTATCTCCTAATTGTAACTATATGTGCAATTTATATAATTCCTATCGTTTAAAAAAAAAAGAAAAAAATGGAGACAGTTTAAAAGAAAATGATTAGACGTCAAATTCGGTCATATCCATTTCAACCCCTTTCGACATTCTCATCTTTATTCTACACTCCAAAACAATTATACCAACAGAGCAGAAGAAAAAGAAAATCTATAGTAATATAAAGAGGTTGTTGGAAAAATACATTTATAGTAAATTTGACTAAAAAAATAAATAGTTTGACTTACTATTAATGGAAATTTCGAAAAAAACACATGTACCAAAAAAATTGAGATTTTTATGGTAACAAATTTGGAGATTTTTATGGTAACAAATTTAATTGAGATATCCCAAAAAAATTAGAGATTTTTATGGTAACAAATTTGAATACCAAAATTTAATTCATTTTAAATATTAATCCATAGGAATCTATTTTTATTGGTAACAAATTTAAAGATTGTTATGCCAAAAAATTGAGATTTTGAATTGAGATATTCCAACAATCACGGATCATTTTCCCATTCAAATTAATGTTGTAAATCAAACAAAAAATTATTCCAAAAATAATGGATGTTATACCAACTATTGATAAACTCCAATCCCATAGGAGATTTCTATGGGATTTTTATGGTAACAAATTGGAGATTCTTATGCCAAAAAATTGGGATTTTGAATTGAGATATCCTAACAACTTCGGATTTTTCCCCCTTCAAATTCATGTTGGAAATCAAACAAAAAATTGTTCCGAGAATAATGGATGTTATACTAAATATTGATAGACTCCAATCCATAGGAGATTTTTATGGGTTTCTTATGGTAACAAATTGAAGATTCTTATGGTAACAAATTTGGAGATTCTTATACCAAAAATTAATTCATTTTAAATGTTAATCCCATAGGAATCTATTTTTATTGGTAACAAATTTGAAGATTCTTATGTCAAAACATTGAGATTTTGAATTGAGATATATCTCAACAATTACGGATTTTTTTCCATTCAAATTAATGTTGTAAATCAAACAAAAATTATTCTGAGATAATGGATGCTATACTAAATTAATATCACTGGGCCCACACGTTAATATGATATTAATTAGATAGATAAATTACGTAAATCTTTTCTAACAAAATGCGTTCCAATATTGTTAACCAATTTAATGGGATTTTCTTAACTAATTTGATAGGATTTTGGTAACCACGAAATTTTGTTAGCTTTTCATGGAACCACGAATCTTCATTATGATAAGGTTTGATAAGATTTTGTTTCCAATTTTTTTTTGTTTTTTTTTCCTCTCTCGAAAATTTGATAAGGTTTGATAAGATTTTGTTTCCTTTTTTTTTT